ATGTTGTCAATCGCGCTTGTGATGTCTTCATAGAATTCCAGCAAATTAGTCAAGTATGACGTGCCTTTCATGAAGCCATGCTGGGTCCGCCGGATGGGACCATTTCTACCTAGATGTCTTGCTGTTTCTTCCTTGATGATAGATTCAAGCATTTTCACAACTACAGAAGTTAAGCTAACTGGCCTATAATTTCCTATCTTTTGTCTACCTCCTTTTATGAAAAGTAGCATCACAATGGCTGTTTTCTGATCTGCTTGTATCTCCCCCATATTACAGCTGTGAAGAGGAAGCGGATAAGTTTGTGTTGTTTCCTTTGAAGCAGAGACTGTTGTGGGCTAGGGGTGGAGGTGATAGAGCTGTATGATAGTGTGAGGTGGATAGACAGGATGGACAAATAGCAGCTCTTTCCCTTCGTCAAAAGGTCAATAACAAGGCGGCATCATTTTAAGGTAAATGGCAGGAGATTGAGCACAACACTTTGCCAAGAATGTGATATGTTTCTGGAATGCATTGCCTGACATGGTAGTTTAGGCAATAAATCTGAAAACCAATAGAAAGCACTTAGAAGAGTATTTCATGTGTCACAACAGTCAAGGCTACGAGTCTTATGCTGGGAATTGGGATTATTGTTGCGAGTCATGTCGCTTTATTGCCACAGACTTGACACAACAAAGGGCACTGTATTGCATGTTTCCATTGTTTTTTGATTCATAATGCCAGAAGTGCAGATGTTCTTGTGTTGCTGCAACTTTAACGACCAGTTCCACCATTTGTGATATTGCCCTGCTCACACGCATTACAACCCGACAGGCAATAAGCCATACGTGAAAACCTGAATAAAAACTAATCAAAATCTCAAAAGCTGCCAGACATTGTGACAATGTAACACAGTGTACTGAACCATCACGTACTCTCTCTACTTATGTTATCAAATTCAATTTTCAACCTCAAAGATTAGCAATTGCAGGAGTTGGTCTTCACAGGTAGCCTGTACTTCGAGAAGCCTCGCAACTGGGGCATTATTACATCAATCATATAGGTGTTTCGTATGCATAAGGATTTTCATGTTTGAGGACTGGGATTTTTGCTAATCGTCTGATCCCCCCACGCCCTGTCTGAATGCAGAAGGCACAACCTGCCTGAATAGTTGTGTTACAGATACTTCTTCATGAAATTACCATTTTCTGAATGGCGATTGATTCGTAAATGATGGGTGCAATGGGGCCCGTGCTTTCAACTGCACTTACTACGGAAAGGTAAGTTTGCAGTGGCAGTAGATGGTGAAGAAATCCAATGGTATGTTGGTCTTCACAGCGAGAAGACTTGCGCACTGGAGGAAATTTTTTTCAATCGTTCTGGGGTTTAGCGATATTGTGTGAATAAGTGTCTCCTTATCTCAAGGTGGATCTTCTGGCATTGGACGGATTACAACAAAGGTTAGCCAGAATAATTCCTGATAAGTAAAGTCTGACGCATGACGATAGATTAGATTGATTAGCAATATCATCACTGCCAGTTTAGTGCTCTCATAAATATCTGGAAAAAAAAAAGTTCTAGCCAGGACATACACAAGAAGGATGTTCCTGATGACTGGTGGGATCACAGAAACATGAGATATACCGTATAGAAGAGGCCATTCGGCTCAGTGAGTTTGTACCATAAAAAAAGTATATTGCTGCCTGCATCAGTCAGCCTTTCCCACACTCGGTCCACAGTCCTGAACCAGAGCCATGGGTCAGAGCTTAATGATTTAAGGTAAGCAATTTAGGATTGAGATGATACAAAATTTCTTCACGTAGAGAATGGTGAGCTTGATGAATTCACTGTCAAAAAAGAAGCCAAACACTGAATGTTTGTCAGAAAGTATCAGATGTAGTTCTCAGTGTGAAAGAAGTCAAAGGAAAGGAGAAAGCAGATGCAGCTAACTGAATTGTACGAACAATTATATTAATATTGAATGACAGAGTAAATCTGCAGTGTCAAAGGGTGTAAGCTTTCTGTTAGTCTCTCTGTTTGATAGCTCATCTACCACTGAAATCACCAGTCAACTGCCTCCACGGTCAACTGACAATGGAATAATAGTGTTCCATATAATATCATAAGTACATGCAGCAAATCCTGAAACATACTTCGACAACACTTCGTCCATGCTTGAAATAGAGCTTCTAGAAGTATGGACCACCTACGAAGACCAACACTTACAATTTCTGATCATTGACGTTGAACATTCGTGACCGTGGAAAAAGAATGATCTGATCCATTTAATCATCAAATGGACGGGATTGGCTGAGAAGAAAGTCACTCTGTCATGTTTATTAGTACGAGTGGACAGGACGTAATTCTTTAATTCACTCATGGATCGTGTATATTGATGGCTGGGCTGGAATTTATTGCTTACCTCTAGGTGCCCTTCGAAATATAACCATGCACTATTCTCTTCAGTAATTGATATACGAAGACCCAGAATGCAATTGGGACGGGAGTTCTCGGATATTCGCCGATCGATGCTGAAGAGTGAATGACACATTTCCAGTCACGGAGTTGTTTGGAAGGGACCTTGCAGGTGGTTGCGTTCAAACCTCTCCACTTCCCTTGTTATTCTAATAGGATCAAATGGTGAAACCCTACAAAGCATCATTTAAATTGTATACTCTGCCATACAGATTGCCATTCTGCCCCTTTTTTCAAGAAGGTAGAGAGTTCCTAGTTTCTGTAAGCAGATTTATGGAAGAGCTCCTTCGAAAATGAAGAGATCTGGTTTCACCCAAGGATTTGTTTCATCATGCAGAACTATCATGGCAGACAAAACACTCTAACTGTTCACCAACGTCAGCTACCTTTTTTTTCAATTTTCAGTTTGAAACAGAGACTACCACTTCAGCAGTTGCTCTCAAATTCTAAGCAGCTCCCATCCAACAATAAACACTGCTGACGCTGAGTAGTAGCAGTGCAAAACACCTTCAAGATGCACTGCTGATAAATGCGAATGATCATAATAGAATCACAGAATGCAAGCGAGCCATTCGGACCATCGAGTCCACACCTAACCTCTGAACAGCATACACCCAGACCCACCTCCCTACCCTATTCTGGTAACCCTACATTTCCAATGGCTAAGCCAATTAGCCTGCACATCGATGGACACTATAGATAATTTAGCATGACCAATCAAAGTAACTTGCACATCTGTGCACTGTGGAAGGAAACTGGAGCACCAGGATTAACCTACATAGACACGGGGAGAATGTGCCAACTCCACACAGACAGTCAGTCAAGACTGGAGTGGAACCCGAATCCTTAACTCTGTGAGGCAGCAGTGCTAAGTGCTGAGCCATCATGAAACCCGTTTATTTCTTGAAAAATAACATGAAGACGGCATCTCTGCAACCGATGGTGTTTTCCATCCGAAAGATCAAGCGCAGTGGATACATGAAACACCACCACGTACAAGTTTCCTCCCAAGCCACTCATCTTCCTGACTTTGAAATATATAGAGTTCCTTCAGTGCCGCTGAAACTCCCTTTTGGAGGCACACTGAAACTCCCCATTTACCATGGCAAACCTACCTAACTAACAAATCTTTGGACTGTACGAGGAAATGAGCACACACAGAAAAAATTCACGCAAACACAGGGGCAATGTGTGATGTCCACACAGACAAATGCCTTAGCGTGGAACCAAACCCTGGTCTGTGGCACTGATAAGGTAGCAGGAATTACCACTTTGCCACTGATAATTCCAAACGCACTCGTCTCCATACTCCAAGACCTAGGTCTCTGCTTTCCCCTTCGTAACTGGATTCTCGACTTCCCGACCAACGGTCAGTAAGGATAGACGACAACTCCTCCTCTGTGATAATCCTCAACATTGGTTCCTCGCAAGGCTGCATGCTCATGTCCCTGCTATACTCCTTATACACACACAACTGTGTGTCCAAATTCAGCACCTACTCTGTATAAAAGGTTGCTGACGATACTACCGCTGTTGGTCGCATCCCAAACAATGATAATTAAATGGCATACAGGAAGGACACCAAGCGCTAAGCAGCATGGTGTAAAGATAACAACACTCCTTGACATCAGCAAAAAGAAGGAATTGGTCATTGCCTTGAACAAGTGAAGTGGAGGGTACGCCCATTTCTGCATCAATGTTGTTGAGGTGCTGATGGTTGGGAGTGTCATGTTCCTGGGAGAGGCGGTTATGATCAACCTGTCCTGCTCCACTCACGTTGAAACCGTGGTCAAGAAAGAGCAACACCTTTCATTCCTCAGTTGCCTGAGGAAATTTGGCGTGCCCACAAAGACTGTTACAATGTCTTATACATGTACCATCCATTGTCGTGATTTGTACTTCCAGCTGCATCAGTAAAACAACCAACATAATCAAAGACCCTTCCTATCCCAGTTGTGCTCTCTTCCACCCTCTTCCATTGGGCAAGATATATAAAAGTTTGTATACACGTATGAACAGTTTCAAAAATAATTTCTTCCCTGCTTTAATCAGGGTTTTGAATTGGCCTCTTTATGTTCATGTCAATCTCTCTCTGCACCTTCTCGTCAGCTGTAGCATTGCATCTCTGCATTCTGTTCTATGACCCTGATCCAATTGTATAGTACGATCTTTCTGAAAAAGTTCATAAACAAACACGTTTCACTGTACCTCGGTACACGTGGCAATAATCATAATTCTAGCTCCCAATCAATTGTTCGAGTCATTTTAATAAAAGTGCATGAAAGACCTGTGGCTAACTCTGCTTTCAGCCCCTAACTGCTGCTATCTTTGGATCACTTTGAATTTATTTGTCACATGTACGAAGTATAGGAATACATACGGACAGCGAAAAATGCACAAAGTCGCCATTCACTGGCACCACTTGGTTACAACAACCAGAATTAAAAGGTTTAACAGAGCCAAAAGGAAAGCAAAAAAGCAGTTCAAATCTCAGAGTCCCAAATCCCATCTCCACAAGGGTGCAATCCCAGCTCCAATCGCTAGGACACCCAGGAAGCCGCCACCGCCATGCGAAATTCCCGTTGTCACCGCCGACTTCTGCCGCCTCACTGGCCTACTCTCGCTGTCATTCCGGCCCATGCTCGATCTGCCGTCACTGCAGGACACGACCCATACATTCAGTTCATGCCACGCAATTCCCGGTTGCGATCTGACTTCTTAGGCAGATAATTAATAGCACGTGGGTAGAGGGTGTGGAAAGGGATAAATTACTGAAGAGAGGAGAGAAAAGAAAGTAAAAGGAAAGGGAACTAGCGTGCTCCGAATGGGGTGACTTATCCTGCAGCCACCAAAACCAGCTGAGTTTCTCCAGCAATTTCTGTGGCTGTGTTATATATTCCTTAACACTTACTTTGTACATATATATCTCTGCCGATAATGTTTTGATGTCCTTCAGTGGAACATATAACCAGAGAGGTCTGCAGCACAGAAATAAAAAAAACCTTCTGAGCATCCTGTCGGCACTGGTAATAATAGAAATAAAGGGATTTTGTTTCTGATCCCATTTTACAGCATTTCAGCCATAGCCTTGTATGCCTTGGCATTATGAATACATGTTTACATAAATAATCAGTTTTGTGAGGGTTTATGATTCAAACATCCTTACACGGAGTGATTTCCAGATTGTCGCCATTCATTGTCTTTTTTTTGGTCACATTCTCATCAACTCTGAAACTCCAGCTCTTCTGATAATTCCCACATCACTGTTCATTTATCCCTTCACCAAGAGGGAAAAAAATCCTTCTTCAATGACTGTGTTGGAGTTTCCATCGGGTGCTCTGGTTTCCTTCCACAGCCAGAGATGCACAAATGAGTTGCATTGGTCATGCTAACATACCCCGTGATGTCCAGTAAATGTGCGAATCTGGCAATGGGGTGTGGGGCTGTGTCTGTGTTGTATTCTATGGACTTGATTCTGTAATCTCATTGATTGGAGAAACAGACTTGGAGACAATGAATGCCATACGACTGTTCATAAGTTGGCAATGTCTCCCTTTGTGCTGGAATGGACAGCAACATTCCTGGGAGAATGCAGTTTCTCATTTATTTTATGTTTTAATGGTTGCAATACCAACCGAACAATTTAGTCTCAGAGCTGAGCATAATTTATCACATCAGGGAATTTACTTCATGTCATAAACTGATAGTTCATTTTACTTTCAAAAATGAAAATTGAGTGAACCCATGTTGTAATCTTCATATTCCCAAGGTAATCTCACAGGATATAAATGAAAGATTTCAGGAAAGTATCACTTCTGTCTTTGATGCACAGATATTGAGTACACAAGGAGGAAAAAAATAATTTAATAGTGAAAACGCATCTTCCAATTCAAAGGTGGTGACGATATATTACATGATTCTTGCTGTCATTGGTTTTCTTGGTAAGTGATGGTAAACATTAAATGTATATGTACTTTTGTATGAACTGCTCTCTGGGTTGACTCTCTGATACTTCATGGTGATACAGTAGTCACTGTTTTGCGAATATTTGTACAACGATAGAATTTAATAAGGTCATGTATCTTTAACATTTTCTGCGGTTCCTCAATTAATACTAAAACTCACAACGTTCCTGAATTAACAAGATTGCAAGATTGCACATCGAGTGGAATATATTGAGAACAGGCCACAGAGAAGTCAACATCGCTGAAGGAAATGATGAGAGGCAGCAGGAGAGAAATAACGTTTAGAATTAATCACTTAACAACGCTAAATGGTGTCCGTCATTTGCCAGGGAAGTGTCGTGACTATCCACGGTCAACACCTCTGGCTGATTTTTTTTTTTCAAAAAAAAAGTCTGTCAAAAAACGAAAACAATCAATTATCATCAACATGGCCATAATTTTCCAATAGGCCGTCATTTCTTACCAATCACGTCTCTCCTTTTGTATTGTTGCTTTTACCAATAAATTGGTTACTTCGGTAATTTTTGTGATGAGAGCAAGTGGAAAAGACTGAAAATATGGTTCTTTTCTCAGCAATACTCAACCTGAAAAATTAACTGCCTGAAATGTAATTAATTTGTTCTATTTTGCTTTGCTTTTGTTCTTATATTACAGCGCAAAAGATGGGCAAGAAAAGTTATCGGATTCAAATGTTCTGTAATGACTACGTAAAAAGAAATGTCCCGATATTTCTCTAACTCCTGTTGAATAGAAACAGATATTAACTAGTTAATGCGGATCAGGACATGATTGGCTTTGATGCAATCTTAACTGATGCCGGCATTGCGGCTTCAATTCCACACACTGGCTGAGGTTATCATGAAAATCTTTCCTGCTCGACCTTTGATCTTTGCCTGAGGAATGGTGACTCTCAGGTTAAACTCACCATGGTTCTTAACTCCCGTTACAAACAAAACGATCATCTGGACCATGGCTATTTTAACTCGTTTAATTGAGTGTCAATTACTGAAACTGACTTCACTATTCAGAATTAAACTCCTCTCCTAATGATATATTATCTGCCGCAGTTTTACAGTTACAAAGAGTGACTGCTCTAATTGGAGTTGTTTTCCGTAAAACAGAGCAGATTGAGAGGTGACTCGATTAAGATGTATAACATTATAAGGGGCAGAGATAGGGTAGACAGGAAACGATTTTTTTTATCCCTACTGATGGAGGGATCGGTGGTCTGGGACATAGAGTCATAATAAGCAGCAGTTGGTTGAGAGATGTGCAGAAATTTTCTTTTTTTTTCATTTGAAAGGTGGTGAGAATGTGGAATTCACTGATTTTATGTGTGATAAAGGCAGAAAAACGTCATAACACTTTAAAAGCTCTTAGATGTTTATTTCCGATGCCAAAGCCTACAAGGCAATGGGTTAAATGTTGGTAAATAGAATTGGAGTAGTCAAGAGAGAGTTCTTGATCGAGTGATACGATGGGCAGAGGGGCCTCCTTCTTCTATACCATGTGATTTTATTTTTGGTCTGCAGTTGGTTATTGGAATGGTAATCCAATTCAACCTGCATCGTCCGAGAGATCTGTGGGCCATGAATGTTGAACCAATTTATTAATTATTGAGGGCCTTATAAGTTATTGAGGCGCCTTACACGTTCCTGAGGCCATTTCATCATCCATTTGTACAAATCGTTAAGGCTTTCTAGCCATGTTAACACTTTGTCAAATTGGTGCATATATCATTGGAATAAATCGGTATTGCGATCTCAGGAGCCTGTGTATGTTTGAAGACAGACAATTAGAAGTGAGAGACCAAGATTGAAAAATAATGAATGAGCTCTGACCAAAAGCTATATTAAACAAGATTACAGCATGATTACAAAGCAAATACATAATTCACTTTTCTCTCTTATTCGGAGTAATATTAGCCAAAATAATTTAATGTCTTCCAATGTATCAGTGTGTTTTTTCTGTTCCATAGAACTCTCTGCTTTTGAGTTTCGATATTGCTTACACTCAGCCCTTGCTGTCAAAGGAATTCATCTTGATCTGAATCCCAGTGATTACTAATTGCACATCATATCTTTCACCAATTTACGTAAACCCCATTAACGCCTATCATTTTTTCCCCAGAAAGCTTGCTGTCCATTCTGCTGATTGCCCCTTAAACCTACTTGCTGTGAGATTTGCTGGTGTTTGACGATGTCTGGTTTATTGAAAGCCTTTACGAAAACAAGGCTACTTTCTTCGATCATATAAATCTCATGTACAACTAGGGTGATTCCGATATGCAAGGATTGTCCATTTAGCAATGGCAAAACATATTGGGGAACTATAGATTGAAACTTAGAGGAATAGGAGATGATGTAACTGAAACATATAGGAATATTTAAAGAGCTTTTACGGTAACTGCTGAGAGGATATTAGAATTAACTTTACTCTCACATTTACTCAAATGATCACGGTGAAATGTTTACAAGTCATCACTTACAGCACCATTTTAGATTCTTCAACAAAAGTTCCTGGAAAAAAACCCAGAAAAGTAAATGAACTGGAAGTGCAAAATTACAGATCATATTTCACTATTTTTCTAATTTATTGCAGGAATTTTATTTATTTACTTTTCCAATTGTTTTCTGAAGGATTTGTACTTAAGAATCTGTACTGAGGTACCTTGGTACCGAAGATAGCGCCGGAAGTGGTGACTTGTAAATTTATCACTGCACTCATGTGAGTCCATGTGTCAATAAAGCTAATTAATGTATGAAAAAAAAATAAAAGTAAGAGAGATGACAATTCAGAGGAACAGTTCTTCCAACACATTCCACACTGACACCCAGCCTCCAGCCCTTGAGCGGGCTTAACCTCGAGGCTCTCGGGGTCAGGAGACTGCCATCACCTTGAGACCAAAGGTCCACACTGAGGCCAGGCCGCCCTGACACTGTGACAACAAGGTGCAGGGCTGGATGAACACAGCAGGCCAAGCAGCATCATAGGAGCAGAGAGGCTGACGTTTCGGGCCTAGACCCTTCATCAGAAAAGGGGGAGGGGAAGGGGGTTTTGAAATAAATAGGGAGAGAGTGGGAGGCGGATAGAAGAGGGATAGAGGAGAGGATAGGTGGAGAGGAAACAAACAGGTCGAAGAGGCGGGGATGGAGCCAGTAAAGGTGAGTGTAGGTAGGGAGTTCGGAAGGGGATAGGTCAGTCCAGGGAGGACGGACAGGTCAAGGGGGCGGGATGAGGTTGGTCGGTAGGAGATGGAGGTGCGGCTTGAGGTGGGAGGAGGGGATAGGTGGGAGGAAGAACAGGTTAGGGAGGCAGGGACGAGCTGGACTGGTTTTGGGATGCGGTAGGGGGAGGGGAGATTTTGAAACTTGTGAAATCCACATTGATACCATTGGGCTGCAGGGTTCCCAAGCGGAATATGAGTTGCTGTTCCTGTCACGGACTGCAGAAAGACTATGACTCCGAACTGAGAGACCGCCATGTGGAGCCAATAGGCCACCATGTAGGGCCACCGAGAGACACCACGTCTGGCCGAGAGACTGACTCCCTCCTGAGGGACGACCAGACACTGAGACAGCCATGCCGGATCGAGAGATCACCATGTCAGACCGAGAATCTGTCAACTGGGCCAACAGATCGCTAGGCCAGGCCAGGAGACTGCCATGCTGGTCA